GCGTGCCCAAGATCCCGAGAGGAGAATGGAAGAGAAGGGACTGCGGCATGACCATCCCCCCTGGGGGGTGATTTCTTGCTTTCTGTCTCTATATATCTCTCTGTCTGTCTGCACGCACCCTATAGCGAAAACCTCTCCAAAAATAAATAAATAAATAAATACAATTAAATAAATTATTTTAAAAAATAAATAAAATACGTAAGTAAATAAACAGAAATGGACAGTTGATACATGCAACTCTAAGTATTTACTTCAGATACATTATGCTAACTGACTTGATACAGAATTCTGGCAAAGGCAAAACTATTAGGTTATCAGGAAAGTCACGTATTTTTCTATGTAAAAATGTGTCACTACTTTCCTGAGGACACCCAATAGATGAGGGTTTGGAAGTGGATGAGTGACCACACGGGGCAGCACAAGTGAAATTGTGGAGTGGCAGGACCAGCAGTTAGCGTAATGGCTATGTCGCTGGACTCCCACGTAGTCGACCGCGGTTCGCGTCCCGGACCTGGTGGCTTAAAACTCACGCCAGGCACGTGTGCGTGTGTGCCCATGATCCTGAGAGGAGACTGGAGGAGAAGGGATTGCGGCGTGGCCATCCCCCCTGGGGGGTGATTTCTCGCTTTCCGTCTCTCTGTCTCTCTCTGTCTGGCGAGCGCACACGCCCTACAGCAAAAACCTCTCCAAAAAAAAAAAAAAAGAAATTTTGGAGTGGCTATGGTTACTATAGCACTAAACACATTTTCAAAACTCATGAAATTGTACAGCAAAAAGTGAAATTTAAGGGACCAGCAGTTGGTGTAATGGCTGTGTCGCTGGACTCCCATATAGTCGACCGTGGTTTGAGTCCCAGACCCGATGGCTTAAACACACCAGGTACATGTGCGTGCGTGCCCAGGATCCCAAGAAAAAAATGGAGGAGAAGGGACTGCGGTGTGGCCATCCCCCCGGAGGGTGGTTTCTCATTTTCTGTCTCTCTGTTTCTTTTTGGCGAGTGCACACACCCTATAATAAAAATCTCTCCAAAGGGGAAAAAAAAGTGAATTTTGTTGTATGTAAATCAGGAAAAAAAATGTGATGAACTCTTTTGTACTAAAAAATATGTCTAAAATTGACATATTTAGGTTCCACCTAAAAAGCTAAAAACAGGGGCCAACAGGTGGCATGGTGGTTACTCAAGTCCACATGGCCAACCGCAGTTTGAGTCCTGGACCTAGCAGTTTGACTTTTCACCTTCTCTCTCTCTCTCTTACTCTGCCCCTCTCTAGTCGAGTCAAAATAAATAATAAATAAATAAATTTAAATAAAATGAGTCTTTAAAAAGAAAAAAAGATAAAAACAAAAAGAACAAAATAAACTCAAGGTAGGGGTCAGTAGGTAGCTTGGTGGTTAAGATGGCTAGATCCCACATGGCCAACTGTGTGGTATGAGTCTAAGACCTGGTGGTTTGAAAAACATACCAGGTACATGTGCATGCCCAGAATCCTAAGAGGAAAATGGAGAAAGCACTGCAGCATGGCCATCCCCTTCTGGAAGGTGATTTCTCACTCCCTCCCCACCTCTTTCTCTCTCTCTCTTGTGGTGAATTCATGTGCCCTACAGCAAAACTAAAAATAATAATAATAATAATAATAATCATTGGTGGGTCAGCTTGTGGACTTATAAACAGGGTATGCTTAACCAGACTGACTCCACCTTATTCAAATAGAAAACTCTTTCTCTCTTAGCCTGATACCTCTTCAAGGTTTCTCACAGGAACTCCAAGGAGATGAATGGCCAACCTGGAGCTTAAAATAGTGAGGGACATTCTGCCCCTGCCACAAGCTGAAACCCTTGTCATTAAAGATGGGTCATCTGATTGTGTATCTTAGCTAAGGCTGAAATTCCTGTTCCCAAGATAAATCACTTGATTGTGGCCCCAGCTAAAAATTAACCTGATCTACTCTTCTCTATAGATGGCTATAAGCCACAAGCACCCCCCTTCCCGTATAAAAACATCTATAAGTCGGTAGGCCAGTCAAAGATATTTTTGCTTGAATTCCCCATGTGGCCACACTATAATAAATTTTCCTTTCCCTTCTCATCAACAATTTTGCCTCCCTCTGTTTTGCTAAGTAGAGAGGGGTCGGACATGCTTTGGGTTCCTGAACTGGGGGTATATAAAGACAATCATCCAACAACAGCCTGGTGTTTATGATGGCTGGATTCCACAAGGCAAACCCAGCAATGTGGGTCCCAGAGCCAGCAGATTGAAAAATGCACCAGATACATATGCATACAAAAATCCCAAAAGGATGTACAGATAGAAAAGAAATTCCAGTGACCATTACCCATGGAGGGTGCTTTTTCACTTTATCCCCCACCCTAAGTGTACACACCCTGTGGCAAATTAAAAAATTAATCATTGGTTTTAAAGATATTATTCAAAGTAACTAAAAAGGTATTTTTAAATTTTGCTAAATACATAAGATATCAATTCAATCTATTAGTATCCCAATAGCCTCCATCACTGGGACAAATGAAAAACAGCAGGCGAAACCTCTCATTTTTATCTCAATAGCCCCCCACCATCCTTACATCATCCTCTAAAATTAATGAAAAAATGTATTTTAGTGTTATTTAAGGAAAGAGCTGTCATCATAGAGAACAAGAGGCCCAGTTGGTCACACCCATAAGCCACTGAGATCCCAAGACAGGACAAGCACTCAAGGCCTAGGCACCTTCTGCTCTGTCACGTGGGAGGATGTGGGAGGAGAGGGCATACCTCACTAGGAGTGCTGAGTTCCAATCCACTGGGCTGTAACTGGAGCTGCTCGCTCACACACATCTCCTTTTCTTTGCTGCGCAGAAATTCCTGTGGAAAACAGTAATTAAACCATCACTATAATAGTAAAGCCAATAGTGTTACTATGAGAAACATTCCCCTGACCATGCAGATAAAAAATATCTTCATTAAATAAACCTTTGGTTTAAAATTTTAAAACAGAAATACAATTTGAAAATATTTTTTCCTTTTTCTTTTTTTCTATAGGGCACAATTGCTTGCTGGGGAGAGAGGGACAGAGACAGAGAGAAGGAACATGAGAAATCACTTCTCCAAGAGGGATGGCCATGCTGCAATACTTTCTTCTCCATTCTCCTCTTAGAATTTTGGGCACACACGCACATGCACCCAGTGTGATTCTCAAGCCTCCAGGTTCAAGACTAGAACTGCCATCAGCCTTGTGGAAGTTCAGAGCCTTAATCATCACACCATTCAGCGGCCCCTGAAAATGTTTTTCTGATTTCTTTTTTTTGCATCAAAAACATGGCTACATTAAAACAACAGAGGAGACTTCAAAACACATTTCTCCCATCGTTCTGGTGGGAGGGCACAGCAAGTGATTGTGTACTGAATACTGGGCCAATCAGGGCCTGATATCTCCTCAGATCATGAGAGAAGAGCCACCAGTGCTGTCAACAGAAGCACAATACGGTGGGGCTGCTGTGTCCCTGCTCATGGTCCCTAGAGCTACTCCTGCATGTTCCCTAGTGCAGAGGTCATGCATTCCTTGAAACCATCTGCCAGCATGGGGTCCCTTTGTACTTTCAGAGAGGATCCTCTTGTGTGTCTGTGAAGGCTGGAGACTTAAGGTCCCACAGTTAGCCCAGCACTCACCTATAAGCCACGACTGTGGTGTCATATGGTCCTTCCTGCTCACCTTTGTACCATTACGTTCTTCCTGTGGCTCCCTGGTGCAGATGGCAGCATGACTTTTCTGCTTGTCTAGCTTTGTGTTCAGACATACATCACTTATACTTCCTAAGTCAACTTTAACCTTTTCTAGTTATTCTTTCAAGTCTAAAACCTTTCATTAAAAGGAGGGAAATAATTTAAATTATCTTATATTCCAGATAGTTTAATGATTATTTTTTTTTGGGGGGGGGTAGGTTTTTCCTATAGGGTGCATGCACTCGCCAGAAAGACAGAGAGACAGAAAGCAAAAAATCTCCCCCCGGAGGATGGCCACACCACAATCCCTTCTCCTCCATTCCCCTCTTAGGATCTTGAGCACGCATGCACATGCGCCTGGTGTGAGTTTAAGCCACCGGGTCTGGGACTCAAACCGCAGTCGACTACATGGGAGTCCAGTGACATAGCCATTATGCCAATGGCTGACCCCAGTTTAATAATTATTAAGGAACCAGCAGGTAGCATGGTGGTTAAGGTGCTGGATTGCCACATGGTTGACAACGGGTCAAGTCCCAGACCTGGTAGCTTCAAAATCATGCTGAGCTTGTATGTGTGCATGCTCAAAATCGCAGAAAGAGAATGAAGAGAATGCAGCAATGGACATTCACCCTGGGAAGTGATTTCTTTTCTTTTCTTTTCTTCTTTTTCTTTTTTTGGAGAGGTTTTCGCTATAGGGCGCGTTCACTCGCCAGACAGACAGAGATAGACAGAGAGACAGAAAGCGAGAAATCGCCCCCCAGGGGGGGATGGTCACGCCGCAATCCCGTCTCCATTCTCCTCCCGGGATCTTAGGCATGCACACACACGCGCCTGGCGTGAGTTTAAGCCACCGGGTCCGGGACTCGAACCGCAGTCAACTACATGGGAGTCCAGTGACATAGCCATTTCGCTAACTGCTGGTCCCCCTGGGAAGAGATTTCTCATTTTCCCTCTCTGAGTCTCTCTCTGGGAAACGCCTGCATCCTATTGCAAAAACTAAAAAAATAAATAAATAGCTTTGAAAGACTTTTAAGTGCATGCCAAAAAAGGTTATCACATGAAAATAACAATACTACCAAGAATATACAGTAGCTGTAAACCCACTGGCCATATCATCTGGATCTGGCTTTCTACACAGAAGACCCCACAGCCATCTGTGAACACTGCACCCAAAGCCAATGCCCCGTATAGCCCTGTCCCATACTTACATCACTCTCGTGCTGCAGGTGTACCCTCTGGGCTGCTTCTAACTGGACTGTTGGATCCTTAGGAGGGCTGCCTGGAGAAGGCATGAGGCACTTGCCTTCATCTGTCATAGACTGCAATGTGGACACTGGGAGCAAGCAATTTTGTTGCTCTTCCAGTGCCTCTTTACCCTATGAAGGAAAATCAGAAAATTTGGACAAATAATTTAAGAAATCAGGGATCTCAAACTGCTGTTAAAGCATAAACCATTCTCAGCTCTTCCTAAAGCAGAGTGGGCATGCCTGTGCACACCTGTACACACTGCGCTCAGTGACTCACCAGATAACATACAACAAACTCCCAGCCACACTCTAAGCTGTGATTTGCCTGGTGAGGAATGTGACCCCAAATGGATGCCATGAAGTGTGCCCACAATTTCACATGAAAAAATTATCCTTAATAATTATTCAACAAGGCACACAAAAATCGCCAAATTGCTACAAATTTTTTAAAAGATGAAAAAATAGGGCAATGGATAATCCAGAAGTGAACACTAACAGTGTGTGAAAGTTTTCAAAGAATATTTAATGTGGAGAAAATGTCCACAACGTGTTAAGTAGGAAAAAAGCACACAGAGTTGTACAGATGGCCATTTTTGTAGAGAGGAAAAAAGAACATTTCCTATACACCTGGTACCTAACAAGTTCAGTAAACACATGCTAAGTGAAGGGAGTGAGGGAGGGAAAATGAGAGGCACAGTAAGTGGGGAGGGCCAGCGCTAAGATTCCCAGAGGAAGCCCCAGGAGGCACTGCAGCAGGGCAGGTACTGGTGCCCTCTCTGGAACACTGAAAGGGAAACCCTCATCCACCTCACAGTCCCATCAGTACTTGCAAAAATCAGACACACGTCACAAATGTCTGCTCCTGTTCCCAAGAAGGGATTTCTTGTCAGAAGGCAAGCTGCTGAACCAAAATAAAACTTCTCATTTAACCTCATTTTTCCAGTGGCCTTTTAACTTCCATGACAGAAACACCAAGACCAAAGGGCAATTCCCTTATCTAAAGGCTAAGGAAGGCACACCTGCTTCCCAGAATTCAGGAAGCGGCCTTCCCAGTCTGACAGAGACCTGAACTCAGCTTGCTCAGGTCAGCTTCCAACTTTCAGACACAAACAAAAACATATGAAATACACAGATGTACAACCTCAGGTCTGATAGGGAACTGGAGACATGTTCACTGGAGAGATTAAATAAGCTCCTGAATTCAAATACTAAAATTAAATACTAGCTCTAAGTATTTAATAAGTTTTTATAAGCCTACAATCTTAAATATTTCATCTTTATGAAATTAGTAGAGATGACAAATTTGGAATACTTGAGAGAGAAAAAAAGGGATTAAACTAAATAAATAAAATTGTCCTCTAACAGATACAAGCCAAGTATCTCCAGAGAGGTCAAAGTGAACTTACTTCTCAGTCTCCAACCACAAGTGTATCCCTGAGGCCATGTGTTCAAGTGAGATAGGAAGACTCACCACAGGCCGCCCAGCCCCAGTCCAGAGGGAACCAGAAGACACTAGCGTTAAGTTGCCAGCCAGAATTGCTAAGACCCCTGCACTTCCCCAACAGAGATACTTCACCTGGTGTGACTCTCTTGTGATCTTCTGCTTTTCCAGCTCTCCCTGCAGCTGGGCTATTTTTCTCCTGGTGGTTGCATTCATCTCCTCAAGACGCTTGATTTCCTCTTCCTGGATTAACACCTGTCTGTCTGCCAACTCTTTCTTTATAACCAGTTCATTAAATCTATCTGTTTTTTCTCTCAACTTTTCTTGTAACAATTCAACCTAAAACCACACAAAAAAATTGAGAAATACAGTAGTTTAAAAAGCCTGTTTTTCCAGTAAAAAAGCACAGAGTGCATCTGCAGAAGGAATGGATGCAAAGACTGTCAGAGAGACAGGCTGGATTAGGAAGGGCATCCTCTCCTAATAAAGAGATACACAGAAACAACACAATACAAACTATGTTAGTAAAATAAAATATACCCTTTTTTGGTCTTTCTTTTTTTGTTATTAGAAGTTAACTTTGATAGGAAAGAATGGATACTACTCAGCAACACAAAGGAAAGAAGTCTGGACACAACCAGCGAGTTTCCAGAATACAAGGCAGAATGGACAAAGCCAGTCCCAACCCTAATGTCTGCACAATCACACCTGTATGATACATGGCAATGATAAGCATATAGGAATGAGGACATATGAGCAGCTGCCAGGGGCTAAGAGGATGGTGTACCCCTGTAAGGACAGGAGGGTTCTGGTGGGAAGGGACTCTATGCAGCCTGCTCTGATGCAGTACTCTATTCCTTCATGACATGATTGCCAGGAAACTTACTGAGGTTATGAATCTCTGGGTGTTACTTCTTTTTTTTGGAGAGATTTTCACTGTAGGGCGCGTGCGCTCGCCAGACAGACAGAGAGAGACATAGAGACAGAAAGCGAGAAATCACCCCCCAGGGGGGATGGTCACGCCGCAATCCCTTCTCCTCCATTCTCCTCTCAGGATCTTGGGCACGCACGCACACGCGCCCGGTGTGAGTTTTAAGCCACCAGGTCCGGGACACGAACCGCGGTCGACTATGTGGGAGTCCAGTGACATAGCCATTACGCTAACTGCTGGTTCCCGGGTGTTACTTCTTAAATGGCATGTGAACCTACTGTTATCTCAATGTTGATATAATTTTTTAAAAAGAACAAACAAACAACTGGAGGTACCTCAGACAACAGGAAGCAGACAGTTGCAGCCCTGAGCAAAAACGGCAAGGAAAAGAAGCCAGAGACAGGAGGCACATGAAGTCCTGCCTATTCAGCTATGCAGTAAGGGAAGCCATGGTGGCAACAGGCAGCATCAGCACACAGAGGGGTTGAGCAAAAGCAGTATTGTGCACCCTTACCTCCTCATCCGGCTGCATGTGCTGTCATTTCCATGTACATGGAAGGCAAAAATGAAAGAAAGAGGAAGTTTAAAACATCACAGACTATAGCTCCACATAGGCCTGACAAATGGCATACGGGCTCACCTGGCTGTTGAGGGGGACCTGGGGCTGTGGCCTGGCTGCCTGGTGCAGCTGTGCCTCTAGCCGTTGGATCTCCTGCTGGAACTCCTCTCGTTCATGCTCCCGCTCTGCGGCTTGCTCCTGGACAAGAGGCAATGTATGGGCCACTTGAGGGGTGCCAACAGAGTCCAGTCCTTAACTTCCATTGCACGTGCACACAGAGTCCACCTGTCCAGCCATGTGGACTCAAAACATTCCCCTCATCATGGCCATTTTCATAAAAAAGTTAAGTAGATAAAAAAAAAGGCCCTTTAAATATAATGCAAACAAAGCTTTGGAAACACTGACAACACTTTGCAACTGCTGGACAGTAAGAAAACAGCAGACTGCACAGATCCAAAGGAAATGACCCAGGGCCCCGTAGGGGTAGGCAAGCCACAGAGACAACTCCCAGATGCAGGAGCACACCTGACAGCTAGAATTTCTCCAAGATCATGAGAAGGGACGTGTGCCAGGAACAGCTAGGATGTCCCCTGTAACTGTCCCCCACAAGATGCTGACAACTCAAATGCCCCCTGGAGCCATAGGCAGCTCTGTTTGTACAGTGTACTGTGGTGCGAACACCCAATTTCAATGTCCTATAGCAGAAGCTCACTTAATGAATGGGAGAGAAGTTCATCCTAAAAGGATGACTTACAGTGGTGCAAATAATATTTACTATTCAAAACTTTTTAATTAAAAAAAAAAAAAAAAATTCAGCCATTTGAGAATCCAGTGCCCTTAACCACCATGTCACCTGCTGGCCCTTACTATTCAAAATTCTTACATCCATGAACTGCCGTTGGTTGCGCAAATGCTTGTCCAGAGAAGTGATCTGCTGTCTAAGGGCCAGGACTTCCTCGGCCTGCTTGGCACAGGCCTGATGCTGAGAGAGCTGTTCTTCCAGTTCAGACTCCAACACTTTCATCTGAGAGAGCAGGGCCGAGCGGTCTTTCTCAGACTGTCTCTTAGTGTCTGACTGTTCCCTGGTTAGATGTTCCACTTCTCTGCGCAGAGCTAACAATGCAAAAAAAGACAGACATGGAGGAGCCTGCCACTCAGTGAAGGATGCTTGTATTAAGAAGGGAACACAGAACATGTGTTTCCTAATGGTGATAACTCAAGGATAGGCACCAGACCTCATTGGGCTACTGTGGAGCTCCAAGCACAGCACATGAGGGGCCTCCTTGGCAGGTGGGATCACACACAGGACTCTGTGCAGTTTCAGACCTGGCCCCATGAGATGGGTATGCCTCATTCCCACAGATGCCAAGACTCAGCCCCAGTCTCTCTCTCTGTCACGTACAGAGCCATATCCTAACATGTCCACAATATGGTTAAATACTCACTGAAAACAAAGTGAAATTACTTAGGGAAAAAAATGACTCATTTTAAAGTAAAACTGGCCAAGGCCAGCAGGTGGCGTAGTGGTCAAGGATGCTGGACTCCTACATGGCCGATATGTGGTTTGAATATCGAACCTGGCAGCTTGCTTTCTCACTTTCCCTCTCTTTCTCTCATTCTTTCCCTCTCTGGTCAAATTTAAATAAATAAATATATATATATATATTTAAAGTCTTAAAAAAAAAGTAAAATTGGCCTCCTCAAAATGTTTTATTTGGGAATAGGGATTGCACACAGGGCATGTGCGCTTGCCAGGGAAAGACAGAGAGAGAGAAAGGGAGGAATCACTCCTGAAAGATGACAGCCATGCTGCAATCTCTTCTTTTCCATTCTCCTCTTGGAATTTGAGATATGTACACACACATGCCCCAGCACATGATTTTTCAAGCCACAGAGTCCAGGACTCAAACCATGGTCAGCCATGTGGGAATCCAGGCACCTTAAACACCATGCCACATGTTGGCCTAAAATAAAAAAAAAAAATCTAAAGCCTCAGAAAAATTCATCTTGGTACTCCCATACAACATGTCAAGTCATTTCAATGAATCCTGTTTTCATATATATTCTCCAATGCAAAGAAACACAATGTCACTTCAAACTTCCAACCACATGACTACAACCTCAGATGAGCCCAGAGGACAAGGCTTGTTGCAGATCTGCTCATTAGTAGTACTGTGTGGCTAGGGTGGTGACGTGTCTTGACAGTTACTATAAATATAAAGCCAATCTATGAATAACGGGTCTACAGTTTGAGTGTCTACCCCTCCAAAGCCCATGCTGAAATGTAACTGCCATTACCCAGCTGTGCTGGGTGGTGGGGCCTTTAAGGTATTAGGACCGGAAGCTCAACATAGATGGGCAGGTTATTTAATGTCTTAATGAATGGGCTTTTGAGAGTGGGCACTCTCTGAGCCCATCATCCTTCTGCCTCCTGAGGGCATAGGATCCCTCCCCATTGGAGAATGTGATTTACAAGGAGACATTTTGGAAGCAAGGCACAACCTCACCAGACACTGAATCTGCCAGTGCCTAACCTTGGAATTTCCATCCTCCAGAACTGTGAGCAATAAATTCCTGTTCGTTATAAATCGCCCAGTCTCAAGTATTCTGCTGTAGCAGCAGAAAATGGATGAAGATGCAGGGTGACAAGTTGAAACTACAGACTAATCAACATGTTGAAAAGGGGGGCTTGTGGGACCAGCAGATGGCGTAATGGCTAAGTCACTGGACTCCTATGTAGCCAACCACAGTTCAAGTCCTGGATCCGGTGACTTAAACTCATGACGGGCATGTATGTGTGCATGCCCAAGATCCCCACGGGCATGTATGAGTGCGTGCCCAAGATCCCAAGAGGAGAATGGAGAAGGGATTGTGGTATGGCCATCCCCCCGGGGCGGGGGCGGGGGTTATTTATCGCTTTCTATCTCTCTGTCTTTCTCTGTCTTTCTGGTGCATGTGCCCTCTAACAAAAACCTCTCCAAATAAAGGGGAAGGAGGGCTTGTGTTGATAAATGCTGAAGTGTTTCAACTCATCAAAAAATGAAATGTCTTATTCACAAATTTCATATTTACATTCCACTAATTTTTTTTAGACTCTTTTGTTGTTTTGTTTTTGCTACAGGTCACATGTGCTCTCCAGAGACAACATAAACAGAAAGCAAGAAATCGCCCCCCCAGGGAAATGGCCACACAAGAATCCCTTCTTCTCCTCCATTCTTCTTTCAGGGTTTTGGGCACGTATGTGTACGTGTCTGGCGTGAGTTTTAAGCTGCTGGGTTCAGAACTCAAACTGTGGTCAACTATGTGTGAGTCCAGCAATGCAACCATTACATGATTTGCTGGTCCCACATTCTACTAATTTTTAAATCTTAATTACTTTGGTTTATAAAAGCTGCCAATCTTCATTGTTTTTCTTTAACTGCCAGAGGCCATATGTGCTTGTCAGAGAGAGACAAAGATAGAAAGAAGGAGAGGGAGAGGGAAAGGGAAAGGGAAAGGGAAAAAAAAAAAAGAGAACACCCTTTAATGGGGCATGGTCACACCTCAATTCATTTTCCTTCATTTCTCCATCATACTGAGATTTGGGGCATGCACACATGCCCACTAAGTCTGTCAAGTCACTAGGGTCAGGATTTGAACTGTAGTTCACCATACAGGATCCCTGATCACTAGGCCCTATGGGCTTACCCAAAGGTGTCAATCTTTTATGACAAACTATCATTACCACTTATCTAACAATCTCAATAGATTTTCATGCTGACTCAGCTAAGTCAACTAAGTCAGCAATTACAGTAAATTAGTTTTAAACATGCAGTTAGTACAATGTCACTCACAATCTTTTCTACATGAATAAGGTCCAAGTGTAACTGCTGCCCCCAGTCAGCAAGGCACTCCAGTTGTGCGGACAGATGCAACTCCCGCTCATCCCAGCTGACACTGTACTCAGAATCAACCACGACGGGCCTCCTGCAGAGGGAAGAAACCTAGCCTACTGCACACTTAGCTTCAGAACAAGTGAGGGCCAGGCCAAGCCTCTCAGGAGGTTGTGTAAGAAAAGCACATGTGTGAGCCAGCAGGTGGCATTGTGGTTGGGGTACTAGACTCTCACGTGGTCAACCATGGTTCAAGTTCCAGACCTGGCAGCTTGCTTTCTCACTTTTCCTCAAATTTGATCAAATTAAAAAAATATTAATAATACTAAGTAAAATAAAATAATTCTTTAAAAAAAAAACAAAGCCCATGTGAAGAACCCTCAGAACCAGTGCAGGCCCAGGAGGCCCAGTTTCAGGCCCAGCTCAAAAACAATGCACAATCACAGATATTGGCTCCCACAAAACAGCAAATGGAAAATATCAGTAAAGAACTGCCTGTATTTTTCAAATGGGACAACTGTGTAAATTTCTACAAATAAGTATTGAGGATTATAGTACCATTTTATTTAATGGTTGTTGCAAGCACGCTGAAGTACTTTTCCTAACCCAATTAGTAAGCGATTTGCAAAGTCAGATGCAAACACACAGACATCGTGCACAAACCACTCATCTGTTACAGACCTGAGCTCCTGGGTGCTGGAGGGACAGGTATGCCTATAAATGAAGACGTGCACACTTACTGAGATGCACATGGGATATATGATGCAAATGTTAGAAATAGATCCAGAGAGGGTCTGCTTAGGGTGCCAGAACACACTTCTGGGTGTGGATAATCACCAAAACCCACAGGTTTTCATGATGATGATGCCTGCCTTCTGCAGCCACAAGTCCTGGCTCCTAGGGCCTCAGCTGATGACTTTTAAAGGAGACAAGGAGGAAAAAACAGAACAGATGGCACCACTCCAAATGCAGTACAAGATAACTGGCCCAGCTAAAGAAGTTGCACATGAGGGCCAGGCAAAGCTCAGGAGGTGGCAGCACCTCCTGTCAATGCTCGGTGCTGACCAAGTAGCAGCCCCAGCAATTATTAAGTAGAGAGTTTGAGGGACCAGCAGTTAGCATAATGGCTATGTGGCTGAACTCCCATGTAGTCGACCTCGATTCGAGTCCCGGACTTGGTGGCTTAAACTCACGCTGGGCGCGTGTGCGTTCATGCCCAAGATCCCAAGAGAAGAAGGGATTGTGGCATGGCCATCCCCCCTGGGGGATGATTTCTTGCTGTCTCTCTGTCTCTGTCTTTCTGGCGAGCACATACACCCTATAGTAAAAACCTCTCAAATAAAAGAAAAAAAATTAGAGAGTTTGAAATATTCCAAATGAATGGAAACGAAAAACTATAATACAAAACTCTCCTTAGGTTAGAAGCAATATATAATGCTGACAACAAAAGCCAAAGGTTGAAGACATGGCACCAACCCCTAGGAGACCTCAAAAGTCCCTAATCCCTACATCTTGCAGAGATGCATGTGTGAAAAAGCATCCAGCCTAAGAATATTCACAGGATCAAGGAAGCAAGAGTGATAAAGGGCAAAAATCAGAAACAGAGGACTAAGAAAATGGAAAACAACTTTTGGTTTTGTTTTAATGAGAAAGGGAGAGAGGAAGAGACAGAGGAAAGAGAAAGGGAGACTGGTATTTTTGATGAGTCTCACCACACTGTGATTCTCCTGCTCCAGCCTCCCAGGACGACAGCTGCATACCATCACACCTGGCCTATTCGGGTTGGTCTGGGAACCAAGCCCAGACCTCACATGTGGTACAGCCTTGCACAGCAGTGCTCTACCACTTGCCATTGGGCTAGGCCAAATGCTACTTGCGGAGACAGACATGGGCTTCTGCTTAGCCTAAACAACACAACCTTCAGGCCCATGCATAAAGGGGACTGTTCCCATTTTATCTTATTAGTTTTTTAAAGTTTATTTCTTCCATGACCAATAGAAGACAGAGAAACAGCACCCCCAACAGAGTCTTAACAATATAATCCACCCAACTTCAGTAAGCCTCAGATAGACACAGCACATGCTAGGCATGTTCAGTGAGGTCTCCAGACATGAACCCAGAACTTTCCTGTGTGAGTCAGACTAACAGAGCATCACGTTTTACTCTGTGCCATCACCCAGTCCTATTGTTGTTTTTAAAAAGAGAAGCAATGAAAAAGAATACAGAATTTTTGGAAATAAAAATGATTTTTTTTTAGAATGAGTTAGCATGCAATGACTAAGGTTCTAATACAAAGTACATATCAATACATACTTCTGAGGGAGTCAATCCTCTGTGCTATGATCATCCTAAAAGACAGCAGAAAAGCAGAGAGGCCCCTGCTCTTTCCGAATTGCTCATGGCAGATCTGACCAGTGCCTGAGATGTTTGATGGGTGGGTCTATGCAGTGCCACGTAATGTCTTGGTGACAGTGACACAAACAATAAAGCCGGCAGCAGTATGAGCAGGAAGGAAACAGAGAAAGCAGGAGCTGGAGGAGACTATGTTGGCCTCAGGAGGTGGTGCCACAGAAAGGCCTGGGGATGAAGGGTGACAGGAGAGCTCTACCCATCTTGGGAAAGTCTTTCTCCAAGGGGTCAGCCACCCAGGAGGCAGCTACCTGCAAACTCAACATTTTAACCTTATGTTTTAACCACTGTCATTTCAAATACGTTTAAGACTAAAATATCTAAGAATCTGAAACTGCATAAACAACTTTTGTCAAAATTACATGTTTTCCTATGTGATTCAATGTTACATACAAAAGATTATGATAATAAATAAAATTCAAATTAAAAAAAAAAAAAACCTACGTATTTTCCTAATTAGGCTTCACATTAGGCACTCTTGCTTTAAACAAAGCTACAAGGCACTGGCTACTTGTGCCTTGAGATACATCCACAACCTAGGCATAGGGCCCTGTGGTCAGTGAGGCAAACCAGGATAATCTGACTTCTCTGAAAAGCTGCAACACAGACCCTTCATCTTACCTGGCATGAATATCCCAGAGCCCAGTGTTTGAGGTAGAAGTCAAACACATGTGCACGACACCACCTTCAGAAAAGGATTTTCTATTTCTCACTTTCAACCTCTACAAAAGTTAAGCTTCCTTGAACCTAGGACAGCTGTGGTACACATATAAACTCTGTACTTTGTCCTCTGGAACCAGTGATCCTTACCGGCTTCCCTCTCCTCCGCCTCTGCAGCTGCAGCTTCCTTTTGGCTACGCAGGACAGCGTGCTCCTCCTTCAGTGAGGTTTGTTCCTGGGCCACTTGCTGGAGCTTCCACCTCAGGCTCTCCAGCTCCAGGACCAGGTGCTGCTCAGATTCTTCCTTGTGGCCTAGGGCCTTCTGCAGTTCTGCTCTCTCCACTTTGAGCCCTTCCAGGATTCCTGGTGAGGGCACAGGGTGAGTCAGGGATGCTCTGATCTACTGAAGGAGCTCAGGAGAGTCATGTGGGAGAGTGGGGAGGTCACATGTGTATTCCCCTCAAGAGGTGAACAGATAGGGTCTGGGTTTGGTGGAAGGGAAGCATTCAGACAAGGCTAGATCCCACACTGGCCTGGTGAGTAAGGGGCAGTAAGGGGCGACCATAGAGAGCAGCTATTATTGCCGTCAACCTGAGGAAAAGGTCAATGCAGGAGGGCTGTGTGCAGTCCCCATAGTCCTGCCAACGCCACAGTCACTTTCCCAATGTGATGCCTCACTAAAGAAAACCACTGGGGCCTCACATGATTCACTTCATCTTCTTTTATATTCAGCTTTGAAAGGCCTCACCCTAAGTTTTCCTGGGCATGCCCGTGGCTGTGCCTTGTACTCACCCTCTGCCGTGTGTAGTGCTAGACCCAGCTGAGTCTTCGCCCTGCCCTCTTCCTCCAGGTGCTCCAGCAATTCCTCCTGCTTCCTGACGACATGGGCCAGCTCCTGGTTTTTCTGACTAAACTCTTTCTCAAAACGAGAATGAATCTGACGAGCTTCCTCCAGCTGTCAAGACACAACTGAAAATTAGAACTGCTTATCAAAAACAACCACAACTTACACTAACAACAGACTTTTACTTCTACCCACCCAAGAAGGAGCAGCAAAGGACAAGGACCTTAGGCGGCAACCCCCTGGCAGAAGGTCAGGTCTCGGGTTTCCAGACCATCCACAGGTTGACAGGTAGCGTAAACTCTGAATTCAAAGGTTCTCTACCCGACTGTCCCCAGTAGTCAAAGGATCACCTGGGTCTGGGCCACCCTATCGGTTAACTCAACTCTGGCCTTTTCTGGGGCTCCAGACAACCAGACCCGGCCTCAAAACAGATCCATTTGCTTCTTCTTCTTCTTTTTTTTTTTTTTTTAACTAGAATGATGGTTTTTAATGGGATGCAGAGGCATGGTTACTCTGACACACACAAAAAAAAAAATCCTGAGGGTGATCAGGAGTTGAAGGTTACAAAATAACAAGGGTAATACTGGGTACAGGAAGAAAAGCTATTCCAGAACCTCAGGAGCCAGGCTAATATGGCCTCTCCTGGCGATCCTGTCTGTGATCACCCCTGGAGTCCATCTTGCCAGGGCCAAAGCCACCTCTGTCCCCACCACCCTGGCCCCCTTAGAAGCCCCTACGGTCCCCCCGCCGTGACCCCGGTAGCTACACCGATCATATCCTACTCTGCCACCATGATGATCATCTCCATAGTTACCCCCATATGAGAGCCTCCTGATCCCCCTCCTGGGCCATCTGGCTTAGGGGCCTTCCACTGGTTGCATTCATTCCTCCAAGAGAAGTTCATATTCTCACATGTAGGATTAGGACACTTCCAGTCCCCAGCTCGCTGCTGTCCTCTACCGCCACCATCTCCACTGGGGAATCCTCCCCGGCCACCGCCGCCACTGCCACCACCACCATAGCCTCCACGGTTCATGGGTCCTCCTCGGCCTCGGCCTCCACAACCATTGCCACCACCCCGATTGAAATCTACTCGGCGAGTAGCAAATGAGACCTTGATCAGATTCCCAGAAAATTCTTTACCATCAAACCAGTCAATAGCTGCTTTAGCAGAAGGTGGGTCATCAAATGAAACTGTTGCCTCTTCCTTCAGTTTGCCAGTTTCCTGGTCTGTGTACAAATTAATCATGGGCTGTCCTGTTTTATTTGTCTTAATACCAATCTGATTGAAGTAATCAGCCACAGACTCAATTGTAACATTCTCACCCAGGTCTTGCACGAAGATGGTGCTGTTGTCGGAATTATCCTGCTCAGAGTCGTGCCGTGATCCTTGGTCCCGAGGGCCACCAAATTTATTTATTTATCACTTTCGCCCATGCTGCCTCTGCCTCCACAGCCACCTCCACGACCTCTGGGATCATAGCCACCACTGCCCCGGCTGTAGCCACCACAGTCCTGATGGCTTTCCCTATAGCCGCCACCGCCATCACCACTGTGGTCCTGATTGCTATAGCCACCACCGCCACCACTCATGGAGGACTGATCTTGGCCGTAGTTACCTCCACCACCCCCCTCTGCCACTATTGTACTGGTTCTGCTGTCCATAGCCCTGAGGGGGATTATAGGAGCTTTGCTGCTGTCTATCATAGCAAGACTGTTGGCCATAGCCCCCACTCTGGGCTGCCCCGTAACTGCTACTCCAAGAACTGCTACCGTGACCTCCCAAGGTGCTGCTGGGAGCTGGCTGCTGACCATAGCCAGGGTAGGACTGCTGCCCATAAGATGACTGGGAACTCTGGCTGCTGCCATAGCCACCAGCTGAGCCATATCCCTGGGAAGCTAAGCTGTAGCTGTTCGGGGTCTGTCCATAAGAAGAACTATAGCTACTCTGGCCATAGCCTGAAGTATCTGCTGACTGGCCGTCACCACTGTAACTCTGCTGTCCGTAGGGTTGACTGCTCTGCTGGGAGTATCTCTGTCCAGGCTGGGTGGGGTAGGTCCCATAGCTTTGGGTTGATTGTTGGGTATCATCGTTTGAGGCCATGTCCGCACACGTGTGCACAGGCTGACAAGCAAGAAGATTCCAACACCACAGAGCGCCAACGCCTCGAGCACTGCCTTCTTCTTTTAAAATGACCCTACAGCCTCCTTTTCTCATGCCCCTAGGCCCTCGTCCACCAAGAGCTACCTCTTCCAGCTTCTGTCCTATTGCGGCACCTGCCCATCCTGTAACCAAACGCTGCTTGCCCATAAGGGGCCCTATTGCTTCAAGCCCCCTCAAGCTTCAGGCCTGCTGTCCCCATGCCAACTTAAGAGGTTCCTCTGACCCTGCAAGGCTCTGCTCCCTCCAGAGTGATCTCACTTCTCTCCTAGCATCTCTTGAGTTCCTCCCCGAACAGCTCAGGACTTCTGTGAATCGTGTGCTGGCTGAGCTCACCACATGGACACAGGGCTGGGCTGTCCTGGAGCCAGTGTAGACCAACAGTGGAGGCCTCAGCCCATGCCCAGGAGACACTCAATGGGTCTGTCCCATTACAAGTGCTTATTAGATGTCACACGAACTGCCCTGCTCTAGAGAGCAGAGGATGTGGAGAGAGGCACGGTGAAGGATACAGCCAGCAAGAGCCAGCACTGACTCTCACAAGGGCTCATCTGCCTTCACTGAGGAAAGCAAACTGCTCAAATCCTTCTGAAAATAGAACAGCACTACTGCACATAAAGATGCTTGTGTTTTTAACTAGGCTGGCACAGAAAAAAGATCTATTTTTTCCCACATATTCCTAGCCAACATCTTTTCTAATGGTCTAAAATGTTCTGAAAGAGTTAACAATTCCCTTAGTGATGCTCTCTAAATGTGAACATATTCAACGCGTAAATATAACACGTGAAGGAAAATAACGAAAGTGGGTTTATGTACTACCTAAATTAAATAAACCAGATTCTATTTGCCATTCATATCAAACCCACTTCCTCGGAAACTTTGGTTTGGAAAAATTCCTACTTAAGGTAAATAAGTAGGAGAACACTGTTAGGTAGTAAAAGAAGACCAAAATCAATGGAAAGGGGCCTGTTTCTATGACTCAGCTCAGTCAGCCGCTTACAGGGTTACAGAGCTAGAGTCCACACAGATCATTGCAGGTTTGAGTCCCCACCTTGGTTGAATCAAAACATGCCTTGTGCCTGCAAGTACCCAAAACTCTGACCCTACCTTCTGAAGGGATACATCTCTGATTCTCACACACATGCTCTCTATCATAAAGAAAGAAAATCAATGCAAAGGAAAGGTGAATGAGTCTCCCAGACATGACAGAAGTCTGCTTCCAAATGCTGAGTAGAGGAAGAGACAAAGAGAGTGTTTGGAAAGTCAGACCTCGGGACCAGCAATTGGAGTAATGGCTATATCACTGGACTCCCATGTAGACGACTATGGTTCGAGTCCTGGATATGATGGCTTAAAGTCACGCTGGGCGTGTGTGCGTGCATGCCCAAGATCCCGAGAGAAGAATGGAGAAGGGATTGCGGCATTGCCATCACCCTGGGCGGGGTGGGGGGGATGTGTGTGTGTAATTTCTCGCTTTCTGTCTCTCTGTCTCTGTCTTTCTGGTGAGCGCACAAGCCCTATAGCAAAAACCTCTCAAAAAAAAAAAAAAAAAAAAAAAAAGAGAGAGAGAGAGAAAAAAGGAAGTCAGACCTAACAGAAAAATGAAAGAACACCCTTTCTTAAGTGGTTGATAATTAGAAATACTGCATGAGGGTCCAGCAGATGGCATAGCGGTTAAACCACTGGACTCCCACATGGCCAACCACAGTTCAAGTCATTACCTGGTAGACTGAAAATCACACTGGGCATGAGTGTATATACGTCCAAGATCCTCAGAGGAGAAGGGATTGCGACATAGCAGCATAGCCATCCCCCAGGGGATGATTACTCACTTTTCCTCTCACTGTCACTGTCTCTGTCTCTCTCTGGCAAGCACATGCACCCTAAGGCAAAAATCTCTTAAAAATAAAATAAAAAGTAATCCTGCCTGAACAGTGCCTAGCAGAAGGCCTGGAATGTGCAACAACACTACCATATGTCAACCTTACATATTCAGTCTACTCACTTGTCCCCTGATCTTTCTGATGGGTCTGGACTTTACCTGTCCCCTCGACCCTGGGTCTCACCTGTGTTGTGGAGTCCAGGGCCATCTCCAAGAGGCGGTCCACAGCCAGGCCGAGGCTCTGGTAGATTCTCCTGATGGGCTGCTCACATTCCAGTGTGCTTTCTGGGCTCATAAAAAAGCTTTCACATATGTGACTGCTAATTTCAGCAACTGAGGATGTCTCTGCACATTCAGGCAAGGTCCTGTCCAAGTCTGGCAAGCCCATATCAGACCATGTTTCATCAAGTGTCAGAGCTGCAAGACAAGCAAGCACAGACCTATAAATACCGCTGGTCAGCAAGCTGACCCCCAACAATGGCAACTTGAACATTATGCAAACCCACATGGACTGGGTGCACGGAGAATGACAACCCCTATCTGAAGAATACGGAGCATTTCCTACATGAAACAAAGCCACACCCACAGAATCCAAGATTCCACCTCAGCACCATCCTGGACTTTCATCAAACTTAGCATTTACAGGATCAAGGAAGGAGGTGTACCCACAAATGTCCCCAGAACAGTGGCCTGCCTGAGCCCCACAGGAAAGGATGCAGGCAGAGGCTGGGAGGCTTGTCTTGGCACACTCACCTGCTGAAGGGGCCTGGCGTGAATCTACAGTGTCCACATCACCTAGGTAGAGCCCCACGCGCTCAGCGATCCGGCTCTTCAGGGTGATGGTTGCCTTCAGCGTCTCCCCAAACAAACCCAGCAGCCTCCTCAGGGCATCCTGGAGGGCTTTCCTAAGAGAAAAAATGTCCGTCACATGAGCCTTTTGGTCAGGATTTAGTGAGATGCTGCAACCAGCTTGCACGTCACCCAGAGGCATGAGAATGAATGCCATGGCCCAGGAAGATACCTGTCTACCTGCCCAAACACTGAGGTATTCCATCCAGCATGAGCTGAGGTAAGATGGCCAAGGGCAACCTTGTGGAGGACAGCTCGAGCAATGCTGGCTTTCAAGGATGGAAAGAGATTTTATGCTGTGGTTTTTCATTTACATAATATGCTATGCCAGCAACTTAAGAATACATGTCTTACAGTGCTCTGGCCAGCGTGGTATGAAGCACCCATGGCTGGTGTACAGTCGCTCACCTGGAACCTTCTGTCCAGCTCTCCATATCTCAGAGCACAGGCTACACAGATCTGCCTTCATATAAGATGTTTGTCAGAAAATCAGATGTCATATCCACCTTTCACATTTATATGAAAACTGGGTCACTTGCCCACCCTAACTCCTCATGTGGCCCTCTGAGCCTTTTTCTGTGATCATGTGAAGACAGAGGGGATCCCAGGGCCAGGCTGTACAATAACTGGGCCTCCTGGTCCATCTACAGTCACAACCCTCCCTAACGTGGCTATTTGTCCATGGCCACAGGGACTGCAGAGGAGGTCACACTGTGAGGGGTCTGTTGTGCTCATAACTCTGCTCCCAGATGAGAACCTCACCTTCATGGAGCTAAGTGAGGGGCAGACGGACAAGGACCCAGCATGGTCACAGACACAGAAGGATACATCAGACAGACCCTGCTGAGCAGGCTACATCCTAGCAAATAATGGAGGCAGAGGCTGGGGAGTGATGACGAAGGTCTGGCTAAAAAAACACCACCTGCTCTTCGATCACATCTTTTTCTCCTGTGCCCCTTCCAAAATCTGTGCTAATGCCCAAAATGCCAGACAGGGGCAGATGGTGCTGTAGCAGCAAAACAGAAAGACCTGTGAGGCTCACCCACATGGCAAAGTTCTGGGTTTGCATCAAGACACCTTCCGGGGACCGGCAGGTGGTGTGGTACAGTCGCTCACCTGGAACCTTCTGTCCAGCTCTCCATATCTCAGAGCACAGGCTACACAGATCTGCCTTCATATAAGATGTTTGTCAGAAAATCAGATGTCATATCCACCTTTCACATTTATATGAAAACTGGGTCACTTGCCCACCCTAACTCCTCATGTGGCCCTCTGAGCCTTTTTCTGTGATCATGTGAAGACAGAGGGGATCCCAGGGCCAGGCTGTACAATAACTGGGCCTCCTGGTCCATCTACAGTCACAACCCTCCCTAACGTGGCTATTTGTCCATGGCCACAGGGACTGCAGAGGAGGTCACACTGTGAGGGGTCTGTTGTGCTCATAACTCTGCTCCCAGATGAGAACCTCACCTTCATGGAGCTAAGTGAGGGGCAGACGGACAAGGACCCAGCATGGTCACAGACACAGAAGGATACATCAGACAGACCCTGCTGAGCAGGCTACATCCTAGCAAATAATGGAGGCAGAGGCTGGGGAGTGATGACGAAGGTCTGGCTAAAAAAAACACCACCTGCTCTTCGATCACATCTTTTTCTCCTGTGCCCCTTCCAAAATCTGTGCTAATGCCCAAAATGCCAGACACCGGGGCAGATGGTGCTGTAGCAGCAAAACAGAAAGACCTGTGAGGCTCACCCACATGGCAAAGTTCTGGGTTTGCATCAAGACACCTTCCGGGGACCGGCAGGTGGTGTGGAGGTCATGTGGTGGTTAAGGCGCTGGATACTCCCACATGGCCAACTACAGTTCGAATACTGGACCTGGTGGCTTGCTTTCTCACTCCCCCCCACCCCCTGTGTATCTCTCTCTGGTCAAATTAAAATAAATGAATAAATAAATAAAATTAAATGAATAATAATTTTTTAAAAAAAAGACACCTTCCATGAGCCAGGCTAGCTGAGGCTGGGGATGGATAGTGATGTCAGGACCCTATTGGGAGTGTTGTCTCTGCCTTTCATTCTAAAGACCTAGAAAACAAATACCAAGCACTGCTGGAGTCAGAGCTGGGATCCCCACAAATACATGGTTCCACCAGCTCTCCTACATCTGTTTTACATGCAGAGCCTATAAACACTGAGCTTGTTACTCAATGCAGAGACGGACAGCTCAGGAATGCCCGCGTTGAGATGCATACTAGACAGAGTACTGACATCTTCATGGAGAAGTTCATAAACTTTATGAAAAGAAACAAGAGACACTGCACCAAGCACCTCCCCCCACACTCCCCACGACATACACACACATTACAAGGACAAGAATATCAGCTCTCCACAGTAAACCTGGGTTCAGAGAGTGCTATGAACCCCACCCTGGCTTCTTACAGTGCCTGACATTACACCAACAGGGCAAAAGCCACTGAGGAACAAGATCGGGGTCAAAGAGACCAGTCAGGTCCAAGGTTTCGATACACAGGAAACAAGACCTAGGGTTGCTAGGACAGAGACAAGCTGATGGGAGCAGATAGAGGGAACCAGAGAAAGATGCCCCTAGTATACCCCAACTGTCCAACCTGCACACTCACAGGGAGGATGCGTGCCCTCAGGGAGGATGCATACTTCCTGAAGACACTTGCCCCCGGGAAGAGCTGTAGTTTCCAACACGGTACTTAGACAAATATAAAAGAGAGTTTCTTGACATTATTAGCAGATGAATGGCTTTAGGTTCCAGGGGCGTGCTAGATTTACATAAAGAATAAACTGCAAATCTCCGAGGTAACATGTGTGAAATCTGCATGGTGTCAGTTATGACTTGAACTTCCCTCCAAAACTGATGCTGAATTTTAATTTCCAACCTGACAGTACTAGCAGGGGTCACAGGGAGCTACCTTTGTGAGTGCATCCATGCTGTGATAACAGGAGGGGTTCCTGGTACGAGGATGAGTTTAGCTCCTTCCTCACTTTCCCTGTGGGATGCCCCCTGCCTTGTCACGAGCACCATGAACCTTCACCAGACACTAGCATTTCGATCTGGGACATCCTAACTTACATAATCATGAGACGTTAAGTTCCTTTTTGTTATAAAATATTCTGCCTCTGGTTTTGTTACAGCGGCAGAAAACAACCTAGGACAGCATCAGAGTAGAGAACTGTTTCTTAAACAACCATAAGAAGACACACAGTCATGCTTGCATGCAGGTGATGTGGAACCCAGACCACACAAGAGCACCCATTCCAGGGGAGACAGACTCCAGACATAGCACAGGTCTAATCCATGTGCAGTGCAGTGACTCCAGTCTGGAAGGGTGCACTGAGGCCACTGACAGATATGCTCAGGACGCAGCACCCTGCTGTGCCATGCACATGCTGCACTAAGTTCAGGGCAGGAGGGACAAAGGCCATGCTGAAGCATCTCTGCAGCCACCTCAGAAAAACATGGAGGGACTGTCATGCCACAGGGCTTGTAGACAAGACAACTGTGCAGAGCCCAGTGCTTGCTCTTGGCCTGCTCACAGGAATCAGGATATACAGCAGGCACACTGACACCAGAGAGAACAAGGGGCGTGGCCTTGTGTGGACAGGAGGAAGTGGGATCCAGGGCTCAGCAGAGCTTCACAAAGAGAGTTTTTCCCCCTATACTTTGGCAAAGTGAAGATTTGGGTAAGTGAGGTGGCAGCGGCATAGGTGTCATGTAAATGATGACTTTTCTCAGTGTTTAAGTGGCAGAATCAAGTGGCATGAGGTTTCCACCAACCAGACATCCACATGCATTCACAGAACAAGCACACGGTCGGGCCAAGAGTGGTACAACCAAACAAGGAGATAAGACATTTATGTGGCAGCAACCATGGCACACCAACCTCTCGCACTGAGATGAGTTTGCATCGGCCCTGAGCATGGAGAGGAGGTTGGCACCTTCTTGGTTCTCCCCCCCCCGCCGCTGATGGAGCTGCTCGAGTGCAGCACGGCTCTCCTCCAACTCATGACGCAAGGATGACATGTGGGCTTTCAGCTGTCAAGATTGTTAAAGCTTTAGTTAGAATGACTCTGTTAAAAGCAAATGTTTCTGGGGCCAGCAGGTGGCATGGTGGTTAAGGACGCTGGACTCCCACATGGTCGATTGTGGTTCAAGTCCCAGACCTGGCAGCTTGCTTGCTCACTCACTTTCTCTCTATCTTGCCCCCTTGTCTGGTCAAATTAAAATAAATAAGTAAATAAAATAAAATTAAATTAATTCTTTAAAAATAAATAAATGGTTGACCCCCGGGACCCGCGCCGAGCGAGGCGGCGGGAGGCGGCCCCCCACCCGGGGCTCTGCCCGGGGTTCAGCTGCCTCTCCGGGCCCGCGTG